GGTCTCTGGACTGCCAGCTGCCCCACAGACTGTGGACTGACCTCACCTCCACAATTGCTTGAGACAATTTTATAAATCAATCCACCAATCTCTCTCTGCATGTTATGTGCATGTGGGCCCTATCAGTTCTGCTTCTCTGGAGAGCTCTGACTAATACAGAGGGTTTGCTAAATAAGTGAGGCAAAACAGGTAATGACCTCCAGACATTAAGTCCAATCCCCTTATTTGGAGGTAAGAAAACTGAGACCCACGGAGTTAGTGAGGACCCAAGGTACATGTCCCACCCCGCCACACCACCAGTTGGGGCTGCTTTTTGTCCAATTATTTCTTATGGCTGCCACACAGAAATACAATCTGCATTCAGGTTATGCTGTGTATGTGGGGGTAAGAATGTGCACTTTTTTTTTTTTTTTGAGATGGGGTCTCACTCTTGTTGCCCAGGCTAGAGTGCAATGACACAATATCAGCTCACAGCAACCTCTACCTCCTGGATCCAAGTGATTCTCACGCCTTAGCCTGCAGAGTAGCTGGGATTACAGATGCGTGCCACCATCCCCAGCTACTTTTGTATTTTTAGTAGAGACGGAGTTTCACCATGCTGGCCAGGCTTATCTGAAACTCCTGACCTCAAGTGATCCATGTACCTCAGACTCCCAAAGTGCTGGGCTTACAGGTGTGAGCCACCGTACCCAGCTACACTTCTGAGACAGACAGACAGTCTGGGTAAAGTCCTAGGTCAGCCTTTTATTAACTGAAAACATGAAGGTGCTATGTGCCCTCCCCAGTCTTCAGTTTCTTTATCTGTAATGTAGGAATGATAGAGGTGTTACACGAGTAAAAGGAATGAATATTCATAAGGCACTTGGCCCCCTGCTTGCTACCTAGTAAGTACTCATCAGTTATTCCTATAAAACTCCATGGTCTTAATCCTCATTTATCTTTTAATGGCCAGGAAGACAGACTGACTAATTAAACAAGTAAGACTGTTTCTGTTTCTCCACATGACCCAAGGAAAGCTCACTTGTTTCACGGCCTGGAAGCTAGTCATGAGGGTTTTTTTTTTTAGACAGAGTCTCACTCTGACGCTCAGTCTGCTAGAGTGTAGTGCCGCAATCTCAACTCACTGCAACCTCCGCTTTTTGGGTTCAAGCAAGCCCGAGCCTCCTGAGGAGCTGAGATAGCAGGCATACACCACCACACTCGACTATTTTTGTATTTTTAGTAGATACAGGATTTCGCCATGTTGGCCATGCTTGTCTCGAACTCCTGACCTCAAGTGATCTACCCACCACAGCTTCCCAAAGTGCTGAGATTACAGGCATGAGCCACCGCACCCAGTCAGGAGGGTGTATATTAAACGTTAGATATGGCCCCTTCTTAGAGGAGCAGGTCCACCAAATCCAATCAGGTTTGAGATGCATATGGGATACAAATAATGAGGCAGAGACTCCGATCTAGTCCACTCTGAGAAAGACCCAGTTCCCCAAAGTTGAGGACCCTCACACCTACCTTGAACAAGGCCCGGTGTTCTGGGAATCCCCAACTTGAGTCTGCTTCCTCCCTCGGCCTCCCTCTGGCTTCTAGTACAGGCCAGGCCACCTTGGGTCTGTACTGGGCCCCAGCCTTTTCCTATGGTTGCTGCTTCTGTCCATCCAGCATTTGGTGCCCACTATGTGTCCATCATCACTGGGCTGCATGGTACTTGGCCTTGCTCAGCAGGAACAAAAGTACTGCCAGGCTCCTGGGACCTGGCTGGAGGGCTTAGTAGCATTTCCTTCAGTAAAGAACAGAAGGGAGGACACCCCAGCCACACAGAGCAAAAAGCCCCAAAGCAGGAACAGACGCATCTTGTGCTGGGAAACACACAATGTGGCCAGGTGCCACATTGGGTCTCCACATGACCCAAGGAACACCTAGAGTTCAAAAATATGACTCCACAGGAGACAGAGAACCTTTCAAGGTTTCTGGAATAAGACCAGATGAGTAAAAGAACACTGAAAGAAATATCCTACACCAGAGGATACTAAGGTGATGCAGTTTGGCTGTGTGTCCCCACCCAAATCTCGGCGTCCCAAAGTGTTGGGATTACAGGTTGTAACCCCATAATTATGAACTATAATCCCCATAATCCTCACACGTCAAGGGTGGGATGCAGGGGAGATAATTGGATCATGGGGGCAGTTTCCCCCATGCTGTTCTAGTGATAGTGAGTTCTCTCGAGATCTGATGATCTTTATAAGCGTCTGGCATTTCCCCGGCTTGCACTTCTTCTTCCTGCTGCCCTGTGAGTAAAGTGCCTGCTTCCTCTTCTGCCATGACTGTAAGTTTCCTGAGGTCTCCCAACTATGCTGAACTGTGAGCCAATTAAACCTCTTTCCTTAATAAATTGCCCAGTCTCAGGAAGTTCTTTATAGCAGTAGGAAAACAGACCAATATCATAGGCAACACAATGGTTACGAAATCATGGTTCTGAACGGATTCCTAGTTCTATCATTTACAAGTTATGATAAAATAGTTCTATCATTTACAAGTTATATAAAAATAGGCAAACTCCTTAACCTATTACAGAAGCCAGTTTCTTTCCCTGTAGAGTGGGGACACTAATGTTTGTCTCCTTCAGTTGTGAGGATAACATGAAATAACATGTAACAGCTTCCAGCAGCCCTGGTCCACCGTACACACACCAGCACCTGCAATCAAAGTGAAGGGCAGCAACAGCAGTCACAGAATTACAGCAGCACAACACACGTGACGTTCCCATCTGAAAAATGTGTCGTGCACACTCAGAAAGATACTCTAGTCAAAGTATATTCCTAAGTTCTTTCTTTCAAGACACAAAGGCTACATAAGAAAAGTGTTACTGAGGCCGGGCATGGCGGCTCATTCCTGTATTCCCAGCACTCTGGGTGGCTAAAGTGGGTGGATCACGAGGTCAGGAGTTCAAGACCAGCCTGGCCAAGATGGTGAAACCCCATCTCTCCAAAAAACACAAAAAAGTAGCCAGGTGTGGTGGCACACATCTGTAATTTCAGATACTCAGGATGCTAAGGTGGAGAACTGCTTAAACCCAGGAGGCAGAGGTTGCAGTGAGCCAAGATCGCACCACTGCACACCAGCCTGGGAGACAGAGCAAGACTCTGCCTTAAAAAAAATGTTATTGAACTTCACGAACCATCCCTTCACAGTGTTACCTGAAGATGTTGTCAGAAAGAATGGGGATAAGAATTGGTCTGTTTAATAGGCAATAGTTTTTATGGAATACAAACTTGCTGATTAGTAGTGAGAGTCTGCCTATGAAGAGCCACTATGCTCCAGCCTGCGTAACACAGCTAGATCTCTTCTTTAAAAACAAATTTCATCATAAAAAAGAATCTCAGCTTTTAGGACAACACCACCTTACTCTCTCCCAACCAAAATAATAATAATAATAAATAAATCACAGCCAACGTCAGCTAAGTTCACTGGAGTCTGTCCTCGGCATCCATTACTGTTAAGAACCCGGAATAAAACAAAGCAAATTTTTTTAACAGCTTAGACAGTCAAGTTCTTGCCAACCCCTCTCACAAAGTCAATTTCCTTTAACTTTCAACCTATTCATAAACACACAAATACCTCAGCACACATTACGTGCCTGGACCTTTCCTTGGTGATATAAATTATTTGCCCCCAGCAATTGAGTGACAGCTACTTAGGAAAAGGTGACGATGTATAAAGTGGATGCTACAGCTTGAATGGGCATGCCTTTTCTAAATTCACGGGTTGGAACTTCACCCCAGTGTCAGTGTTAAGAGGTGGAGCCTTTAACAGGTGATTAGGCAGGGGAGGTGGCTCAGCCTATCTCAGCAACTGGGAGGCCAAGGCGGGCAGATCATCTGAGGTCGGGAGTTCGAGACCAGCCTGACCAACATGGAGAAACTCGTCTCTACTAAAAATACAAAATTAGCCAGGTGTGGTGGCACATGCCTGTAATCCCAGCTCCTTGGGAGGCTAAGGCAGGAGAATTGCTTGAACCCAGGAGGCAGAGTTCGTGGTGAGCCGAGGTTGTGCCACTGCTCTCCAGCCTGGGCTACAATCGCAAAACTCCATCTCAAAAAAAAAAAAAAAAAAAAAAGAGGTGATTAGGCCACTAAGGCAGAGCCCTCACGAAGGGAATTAGTGTCCTTATAGAAGGCTGGAGGGGACTAACCAGGCCCTTTTTGCCCTTCAGTTTCTCCCATAATGTGAGGACATAGAGGCCCATCTGGGAAGCAGAGAGCGGTCCTCACCAGACACCAATGCCAGAGACTTGATCTTGGACATCCCAGCCTCCAGAACTGTGAGAAATAAATGTCTAATATTTATAAATCAGCCAGCCTCAGGTATTTTGTTACAGTAGTACAAAGGGAGCAAGGCAGCAAAAATCAACCAACGCGGAAGAAAGACGCTTATCAGAGATACGTTCTTCAACAGTATGAAGAAAGTGAAAAGAGGACAGGAAAGAAACAGCAGAGATCCTAAAGGCATGCACAGAAATTAACAAGGAAAACATCCACAGAGGAAAGAACTCATTTTTCAATAGGGATAGCTAAGTGAAGTTGAGGCCATTCTTCCTGACCAAGAAGTAGGGACCTCCAGCACGCTCTTTCCTTCCAGTCCACAGAAGAATCATACTCAACCCATACTCACTACTTATCCATTTGTGTTAACCTAAGAGATGAAATCTATTTGCTTTTCCTATTTGGACGGCTTAGACATTTTAATCACACCTGCAGTTACCACCGGTACATCAAAAGCCCTGCAGCACTGCAGTTTACACGGCTGCCCATAAATGATCATAGTTCTTGCACTGTTTTTAGTGCACTCGATCTAAGATAGATAGGGAAGTACATACAACATTTTGGAATGGCAGCACATGTTGGTTATTAGAGAGTTGAATGTCAAAACACAGTGACGCTAAACAAAAGAGGACATCATTTTACTTCAAAGGCACCTACAGCTTTAAAATGGCACCTGCCACCAACCTGGATTCTTCGGATGCTGACGATTGCCTCTGACACCCTCTCAATGGCTGAGGGGAAGAAGAGGGTGACCGTCAGCCGCACAGCCCCATACAGCGTCACTGCCACAAACACACGGCTGGCGGTGATCACTTTGCCAAGGAGCACGTAGGTGGTGAAGGTCACAAACACAATGATTTTGCTTGCACTGAAAAACGAGGCCAAATTCATCCCTCTGAGGTAGGAACTTCTCAGAATCTTGGAAATCTCCTTCCTGGAAGAGAGTACAGGTTTTTTAAAAAGCAGTGACGTCAGCCAGGCAAAGTGGCTCACACCTCCAATCCCAGCACTTTGGGAGCTGAGGTCGATGGATCGTTTGAACCCAGGAGTCTTAGACCAGCCCAGGCAACAAAGTGAAACACCATCTCTACAAAAAATACAAAAATTAGCCCAGTGTGGTAATGCATCCCTGTAGTCCCAGTTACTTGGGAGTCTGAGGTAGGAGGATCCCTTGAGCCTCGGAGGTGGAGGTTGCAGTGAGCCAAGATCATGCCACTGCACTCCAGCCTGGGTAACCAGAGTGAGACCCTGTCTCAAAACAAAAACAAAACACACACAAAAATCAAAGTCATGACTTCAAGTGCCTTTGTCATGTGGCCCTTTCGAGGCAGTGGACATAGATTAAGGTAAACTGTCTCTTACATTAGGGAAACAGATGATAGCACATTCCCTGGGGACAGCTTCAAATCAAGGCCCACATAAACCAGTGAATAACCACTTCACTCATCCAACGAAATGATGTGCAAAGCCATAGTCTGACATTCGGTGTCAATCAGGCAGGGATAGAAAAAGCATTCAAACCATCTCATTCAACACAAGTCCTATACCAGCCACCTTGCCGATGAGTGAGACACAGTTTGTCTCACAGTCTGGACACACTCCAGGAGCTCATGAACTCATGTGAGAAGAAAATAAGCAACTCCAAAATTGTGAGACCCCAAGATGCTAGACAGACGTGGCTAGTCCAGGGTCCCATGAGAGAAGAAATAACTCAAAGTGGTGGAGCCAGTGAGGGTCACATGCTGGTGGCAGTCATGGAAGAGTGAAATAAAGCACATCTGAAACACAGAAAGATCCATCTACAAAAGTGGAAGAGTTGGCCAGGCATGGTGGCTCACACCTGTAATACCAGCACTTTGAGAGGCTGAGGCGGGTGGATCACCTGAGGTCAGGAGTTTAAAACCAGCCTGGCCAACATGGTGAAACCACATCCCTACTAAAAATATAGAAATTAGCTGGGCATGGTGGTACACACCTGTAATCCCAGCAGTTTGAGAGGCTGAGGCAGGTGAATCACCTGAGGTCAGGAGTTCAAGACCAGCCTGGCCAACATGGCAAAACCACATCTCTACTAAAAATACAGAAATCAACTGGGTATGGTGGCACACACCTGTAACCCCATCTACTCGTGAGGCTGAGTCAGGAGAATCGCTTGAACCCAGGAGGTGGAGGTTGTAGCGAGCTGAGATTGCACCACTGGACTCCAGCCTGGGTGACAGAGTGAGACTCTGACTCAAGGAAAAGTGCAAAGGTGAGAAGTGGCCAGGAATTACCCAGGAAATCATAAGAAGTACCATGTGCTAAAATGCAACAACTAATCAAATATTTAAACCAAAGCCAAAAAACAAAAAAAAAAAAAACCTTTTTTTAAAGATAGAGTTCCTCTCTTGTTGCCCAGGCTGGAGTACAATGGTACAATTTCAGCTCACTGCAACCTCCACTTCCTGCATTCAAGCGATTCTCTTGCCTCAGCCTCTGGAATAGCTGCAATAACAGGCATGCACCATCAAGCCCAACAAATTTTTATATTTTTAGTAGAGATGGGGTTTCACCATGGTGGCCAGGCTGCTCTTGAACTCCTGACCTCAGGCAATCCACCTGCCTTGGGCCTCCCAAAGTGTTGGGATTACAGGCGTGACCACCGTGACTGGCCTCCAAAAAATTTCTAATAACACAAAGCAAACTAACAGTATTTCCATACCTTGAAATGAAAAATACTGATTCATATAGTTTGGTCCAATACAGATATGCCCCATCTCTATAACCTGTCCATTTGGCTACATTAATATAAATTATAGTTTTATTTTAAACATCATTATTCTCAAATACTAATATCTTAGAATCGTTGTAGGGATTTGGGATATTCAAAAACATTTGGATTTTCACTTTTGTATTAGTAAGAAGCATACATGCTTTTTGTTTTAAGAACACAGTGAATGGAAGATCAAGTGAAAATAACGTCCTCTGAGTTTCTACTTAACCCAGCTCCCACGTGTGGGGAGTGGGATGGATTGTACTGAACATCTCATAATGTGAAAACATAGTAAAAATTCTAAAACCATTCAACAAGAATAGCAAAGTACAAAAATCCGGTACAATGTACACAAAAACCTACCTTCTCAAATTGGTAATAAGATCTGAAAATGACTTTTCCCAGGCATACATTTTTATTATCCTTATGCCAGTTATAACCTCATTCATGGTCCTGATCCTGATGTCTGTGAAAGTTGCAGTTTTACTCCTAAAGGGGACAAGACATGGGAAATGAGCCCAAGCGATCACAGCCTGCCCTTATCAGCGGTAGGCACAGGCAGGGACCCACATCACGTGGTTCCTCCCTACAGCGCTTTTGCTTCCGACAACACAGACAGGTCCTACTCAAAATACAAATAGAGAAAGACTTTGATTAGGAAGTCAACAATCTATTCCAACTCAATAAGTATTTTGGAGAATTTGCAATATCTGCTGAGGAAGATGTGAAATGAGTCAGATGTAATATGTGTCCTTGAGGAGCTCACAGGTGCACAGGGAAGGCAGAAAGGCACCTGAACCTGATGATAACATGGTGGGCAGAGTGTAATAACACGGAAATGAAGTGCTGGGGAGCAGAAAAGAAAGGGCTGTTTGTCAACTCCACTGGGAAAAAGGAGAGCAAAAAAAAAAAGCTTCAGAGGACTGGGAGCATCTGAAAGGGCCTCAAAGGACAAGGAAATACTTCTCCAGATGGCAAAGAGGGGAAGTTCCAAGTAAAAAATACACCATAAGCAAGAGCATATAACAAGGAAATGAATGCACACCAAACAGTGGCACATCTCAATCCAGTTGTTAACCTTCACAATGACTCATTTCCAATTCGCTAGGATCTGCTTCATTCCTAAATTATTTTATAATCATTAACCTCTTGACCAACAGCTTCATTTCTCCCTCCCTTCCTTCCTTCCTTACAGAGTCTCCATAATCTCGGCTCACTACATCCTCCGCCTCCTGGGTTCAAACAATTCTCGAGCCTAGTCTCCCAAATAGCTGGAATTACAGGCATGTACCACCACACCTGGCTAATTTTTTCAATTTAGTAGAGACGGGGTTTCACCATGTTGGCCAGGCAGGTCGCAAACTCCTGGCCTCAGGATTACAGGCATCAGCCACCACGACCAGCCAACAAACATATCCTAACACATATGCTACTAGGACTGCATAGGACTGTGTGATTTTATAAATACATCATTCAAATTCACCTTGCCTTCGGGGAGCTTACAATTTAATGGATATTGAATTAAAAATAATACAGATGTATACACATGTGAAAGTAGCGCTAATACAAGCACGGTAAAGATGTATGCAGCTAGAGTGGAGCCTATGAAATATTTCAGTTTATTATTCTTCATTATATGTTTAACTAACTTCTACATATGTGATTTCCACATAAGGACACTCTACTTATTGAGCCACAGAGCCTGAATGCTGGCTGGGAGGAGCCAGTGAATGCCTTCACCTTTGTCCCCGGAAGATTAGCCTTCAGCATAAGGATGGAGGCCCCCTTGGCTAAGCCTGAAGAGCTGCAACATATGCAAAGAAGAGATAATAAAAGGCATTTAGTTTGTTTCTGAACAAAAGCATTGGGAAGACTGTGGATGTTACCAAATACATATGACATTTCTCACACCAGTATTTCTCTTACCTCAGTGATGAGAACAACTTCCCGAAACAGCTTTGCAAGGGCAGGAGAACAATTAAAACCGCCATCCCAGCAAGGCACGATATTCCTATCTCCATCCAGAGCAGGGCCGTCACTGCGATCGCCTGCAGTGGTCCTGCCCACAGGAAGTGTAAGAACACTGTCACCTTCAAAGAACAAGACAGCGTTCTTAGGACTCTAGAAAAGCAGAACCAGTAAAAACACAGTACAGAAACGGTCCGCTGGGAAAGAACGGCAAGATCCTAAACAGAAGTGACCGCAGTGGGTTGACACCCGCTGAAGCAGAAAGCCAAGCACCCCCCACAGATGAAGCCATTCTGGGGAAGCAAAGAGCGGGTCTGGGGGACTCGAAAGAGAATCTGACCAGTGGCATTAGAAGAAGGTCTTGATCATGACTATCTCACTGATGAGCTGAGCACTTTCCAGAATTCTCTGTCACAGAACTCAGCTCCCATATGCCCTGGGGCTCCCCAGTACCCCAAGAAAGCCTGTACTATAGTGCCCACCACATACTCCAGTAATTTACTTGTGTATTTGTCTCCCTGACAGGCCGTGAGCTTCTTTAGAACCAAAACCAACTCTTATTCATCATCCCTGACACTGAGTGGAGGCTTTTAGTTTGCGTCTGATGAGTGAATAAATGGGGGAAAAAAAAAGTGGCTGGGGGCGGTGGCTCATGCCTGTAATCTCAGCACTTTGGAAGGCTGAGGAGGGAGGATCACCTGAGGTCAGGAGTTTGAGACCACCCTGGCCAACATGGTGAAAACTTGTCTCTACTAAAAATACAAAAAAGAGAAAAAAAATGAGCCAGGCATGGAGGCGAATGTCTGTAGTCCCAGCTACTCAGGAGGCTGAGGCAGGAGAGCCACTTGAACCCAGGAGGCAGAGGTTGCAGTGACCTGAGATCGTGTCACTGTACTCTAGCTTGGGCGACAGAGGGCAACAGAGGGAGACGCTGTATCAAAAAAAAAAAAAAAAAAGTGGCCCTAATGCAAAATGGATATGGCCAGCAGCTAGAATGCTCTGGATAACACGATACCTCCACAAGGTAAATGTCACCGGGCAGGTCCAGTGGTTCACACCTATAACCCCAGCACTTTGGGGGGCCAAGGTGGGAGAATCACTTGACGCCAGAATTTTTAGACCAGCCTGTACAACAAGGCAGGATCCCTTCTCTACAAAAAATAGAAAAAGAAATTAGCCAACAATCCTTCTGTAGTTCATGAGCATGAAAATCGGGTGTTCACACACATGTGTGAGATGTATTTTGTTATGACACTCAAATTTTGTTATGACATCACCACGTTAGCCCATCTGACATGAAAATTCAAAAAAGGAGAAAGAAATTAGCTGGGTGTGGTGGTGTGTACCTGTAGTCCCTGCTAATCAGGAGGCTGAGGCGGGAGGATCACACATCACTTGAGCCCAGGAGTTCAAGCCTGCAGTGAGCTATGATCCTACCACTGTAATCCAGTGTGGGCAACAGAGTGAGCCCCTGTCTCCAGAAAGAATAAACAGAAGGGGCGGGGTGTTTAATGAATGCAATGAAAAAGGATCCCTGAGCTGCAGCTTACCTGATCAAACTTGTTCACATCATTGGACAGCAGATTGACTATCTGGCCTGTGGTTGTCTTTCCCATGGCCATGTTACTAAGACGAAGTGCCTGAAATAAAAGAGATAAGTAGAGAATTGTATTCATAAAGGGATACTAAGTCAGGCTTAGGACACTGCAGACCTGAGGAAGTCTTGTGTGAGGTCAAGACCAGATAACCCAAGACAGCTGCTCTAAGGACCAAGGACCAGCTTTTCCGCTCCCCCACCCCCCCACTCCCCCCACCCCTGCAACCCCAGTGCCTTTAGTGGTGGCAGCTGTGTCCTACCAGGACAGCAAGGCGAAGAATGGGAAGAAGAAAAATCTCCCACCCCATTTAATGAATTCAGACATACCCCCAAGTACAAAAGGACATAAGTTTCTACTTAAGAGCCAACCAAGGTAATTTCGAGTCAAATTAGAGGGGAGCAGGGAGGCTGTCAGAGAAACCAAATGAGAGGACGTGGACCACAAATCCATACCAATCACTAATTCTCTGAACAACACTATTAAGCACATCGGGCCTTAGTCTCTTCACCCTGCCTGGATCACAGGGTTGCAATGTGATCAATGTGAAATGACAAATATTTATGGAGTTCCAACTATCTGGAAGACACCAGGAGCCCCAACAGATAAGGTGACACAGTCGTGTTTTCCTGTCTTGGGAGACAGGGCGAGGTATGTCCAGACACTGGTGATTCAACTGTGACTTGCACAGAGAACTAGGGACAGTTCCAACTGAGGGACACTGGGTGGGAGAGACCTTGGACGATGAAGAAGGAACTTTAATGGAGGGAAGGGAAGGGAAGGGTGCTGCGCGGGAGGCCTAGCTAGGACGTAAGTACGGAGAAGGGGGATGTGGGGGCTGCTGAACAAACAGCCCAAACCTGGGTAAAGCAGGTGAAGCTTACAGAAGCGGAGCTGAAGCAGGTGAACCTTAAAAAAGGCAATATGGAAGAGTATGTGTGGTTTTTCAAGTGAGAGGGAGAAACTCAAGGAAGATTAAGCAGTAGAAGTGATTGGCCAGGAGATTACTGGAAGAAGGAGAATGAGTTGCTGCTGGAGTAATAGTCCAGGCAAGAGGCAACAAGACTGTCCACCTGGACTATGTGAATGGGGAAAGAAAGGACAAGACCAAAGTGAAAACATTTTTGAAAAGCTAAAAAATGGCCGGGCGCAGTGGCTCATACCTGTAATCCCAGCACTTAGTGGGGGAAGTGGGGCAAAGGCAGATCACTTGAGGTCAGGAGTTCAAGACCAGCCTGGCCAACATGGTGAAACCCTGTCTCTACTGAAAATACAAAACTTAGCCAGGCATGGTGGTGTGCACCTATTATCCCAGTTACTCGGGAGGCTGAGGCAGAAAAACCACTCGAATTCAGGAGGCGGGGGTTGCAGTGAACTGAGATTGCACCACTGCACTCCAGCCTGGGCAACAGAGTGAGACTCTGTCTCAAAAAAAACAGAGAGAAAAAGAAAAATTTAAAAATTGCTACTATGCAAATATAAGTGAATCAATAATATAAAGAAAGAAGAAAAGGTGGGGGTGAGGGAGAAGAAAAGAGGGAAGGAGAGAGACCAGCCTGCCCCTGCAGGAAAGAAACAGAACGTAAGGTGACTTAGTGACTACAAACTACCTGTAAATACTTATACAGCCAATCTTATATAGAAATATGTTCATTCCACATACAGAAAGTACATCACGTTTTTTAAAGCATGTAAATTTGATTCCTAATTTTAAGAAAATAAAAGTAGGGGCCGGGCGCGGTGGCTCACGTCTGTAATCCCAGCACTTTGGGAGGCTGAGGCGAGTGGATCACGAGGTCAAGAGATCGAGACCATCCTGGTCAACATGGTGAAACCCCGTCTCTACTAAAAATACAAAAAATTAGCTGGGCATGGTGGCGCGTGCCTGTAATCCCAGCTACTCAGGAGGCTGAGGCAAGAAAATTGCCTGAACCCAGGAGGTGGAGGTTGCAGTGAGCCAAGATCGCGCCATTGCACTCCAGCCTGGGTAACAAGAGCGAAACTCCATCTCAAAAAAAAAAAAAAAAAGAAAGAAAGAAAAAAAGAAAGTAAAAGTAAAATGTCAACAGCAAACTCTAAGCCTAAACTGACCATTCTCAAGAAATCTGAAATCCACTGTGCCCAACTTGAACTGTCATCCACAGACTGTGTCTGCTGCCAACAATGAGGCTTAAAGATGGCACAGATGACAATCTGTGAAAAAGACAAAGTTCCTCTGGCCGCACCAGGCAGCCTACCTGTAATTCATGTATTACTGTGACCAGGTGTAGACGTAGAGTAAAAGGCTGGGCAGATACTCGGGTTGTAACAGAAGTTAACCTAAGTAAACGATAAGTCTACAGTCAATGCAGAAATTAGGGGTCTGCTGAAACAAAATCAGTCATACCCAGATAGGATTAAAAGAATCATGAAATGCCATGAATGTTATCTTTATTTATTTATTTATTTTTGAGATGGAGTCTTACTCTGTTGCTCAGGCTGGAGTGCAGTGGCACGATCTCGGCTCACTGCAACCACCGCCTCCCAAGTTCAAGCGATTCTCCTGCCTCAGCCTCCTGAGCAGCTGGGACTACAGGCGTGCACCACCACACCCAGCTAATTTTTGTATTTTAAGTAGAGACAGGGTTTTACCACATTGGCCAGGCTGGTCTTGAACTCCTGACCTCGTGATCCACCCGCCTTGGCCTCCTGTAGTGCTGGGATTACAGGTGTGAGCCACCGTGCCCGGCCACCATGAATATTATTAATGAGAAAGACACAGCTGACAAGCAAACTGCCAGGCTTCTGCTTCCAACCATGAGAGAGGACTTACCCTCCCTTGGAAACTGTAACATTGGGTAAAACATATGACACAGCTGTTCTCAGGCACTGGACTGCAGGTAACACAGGGCTGTGAGCCTCACGAGATGGGAAATATAGGTGGTGGCCCGGGTCTGACCTGGCTTTCTGCCTGGGGACATTTTCTGCCCAAGAAGAACTGCAGTTTCACTGAGATGTGGAGGAAGAAATGGTTGGTCCAAGTTGTAGAAGCGCCTGGAATTTGTGAGCCTGAGTAACAGAGGGTTTGCCCCAGAAGTTTCAATAGGGATTTACCTAGGGTACTTTGCCCACGCTTCCCTGTCCATAAGCAGGGCCAGACTCCATGAGGCCTAAGAAAGCAGCAGCTATGGGGCTGAATGCTGACTGAAGATTCTGGAGGTCATGTAGTAGGAGATGCCGCCCAAGGAGAGGAAGGAAATCTCTGCTGGGGCCTCAGGCATTCAACTGAGACACCCGGAAGGCTATGTCTTAGTAATAAAGATCTCACCCTAGATTAACTGCTGTGCACTCGCAATTAGTTCAAAATGGAGCTACCTGACCTATGATTAGCTGATTGACAGACAGATAGATGGATTCAATGCTAAAGGGGCCAATCTGCAAGGAATTTAACTACCTACATGAACAAAACTCAATGCTCTTTAATCCAGACTCCCTATAGTGTATTGATCATAATGTTCAACATAGTAAAACAACTATTAGATATGCAAGGAAACAATAAAATGTGACGTGTAATCAAAGGAGGGAAATGGCAATAGAAATAGACCCTGAAACGATCCAGATTTTGGAATTGGTAAATGACAACTATGAAACACCCACTATAAAATGTCAAAGAGTTAAAGAAAAATATGGTTATAACAAGCAGATGTCATTTTAGGAGCGAGAGAGGTAATACCAAAAAGAACCAAATGGACATTCTCAAACTGAAAAAGTAACATCTGAAATGAAAGGTAATTAGCTACATTAATAGCAGATACTTTCCACTGATTTAGTCCCAGAGGCACTAACCATTTCTTCTATAGTTCACAACCTGAACTCTGAAGAAGAAACAGAAAAAAAAAAAAGGATTAAGAAAAAGAACAAAGGCTGAGGGTCTGTAAGGAAGAACATTAAGCAATGAAATATTCATGTAACTGAAGTCCTAGAAGAAGAAATAGGGAAGAAAACAGTATTTGAGCAAATAATGACTAGAATTTTACCAAAGTTGGTAGTAAACATTAATTTACATAATTAAGAATCTTAGCAAGTTCAATGAAGGACAAAAACAAAGAGATCTATACCTAGACATACATTACACGTAGAGAAACAACCAACCAGCAGCTGACACACCAGCAACAATGAAAACAAGAAGACAACAGAACAATATTTATAATGTTGAAAGAAAGACCCCCCAAAAAAAAAACTGGCCAGGTGCAGTAGCTCACGCCTATATTCCCAGCATTTTCAGAGGTTGAGGCGGGCAGATCACTCAAGCCCAGGACTTCAAGACCAGCCTGGCCAACGTGGCGAGACCCCGCCTCTAACAAAAATACAAAAATTAGCCAGGCATGGTAGTGGGCACCTGTAATTCCAGTCACTTGGGGCAGGAGGAGGGAGCCAGGCAGGAGAATCACTGGAACCTGGGAGGTGGAGGTTGCAGCAAGCCAAGATCGTGCCACTGCACTCCAGCCTGGGTGACAGAGTAAGACTCTGACTCAAAAAAAAAAAAAAAAAAAAAACCAAAAAACTGTCAACCCAAGTTCTACAACCAATAAAAAATGTCCTTTAAAATATGAGAGTAAAATTACAACATTTTCAGATAAAGGCTGAGAAACTTTATCAGCAATAAACCTGAACTATAAAAAAAGTAAAGAATATTTTTCAAGTTAAAAGGAGACAATATCAGATGGAAACTCGGATCTAGAGAAAAAATAAAGGGAAACCAAAATGACAAATGTGAGTAAATATAAAAGACAGGCCAGGCATGTTGGCTCACACCTGTTATCCCAACCGTTCAGGAGGCTGAGGCAAGCAGACTGCTTGAGCTCAGGAGTTAGAGACCAACCTAGGCAACATGGCAAAACCCCATCTCCACAAAAAATACAAAAATTCTCCAGGCGTGGTGCCACAATCTTGTAGATCCAGCTACTCAGAAGGGCTGAGGAGGGAGAACCGCTGGAACCTGGGAAGTGGAAGCTGCAGGGAGCCAAGATCATAGCACTGCACTCCAGCCTGGGTAGCAGGGCAAG